TCCAGCTTTTATAATGAAAGTTGCACCGATTCAGATGTGGAAAAGCCAAATGGTCAAATAAAGTCATTACCTGCCTGTTCATTATTCCCTCCTTCAACATAGCCATATACTGCATTATTAGGCAAAGCTATAAAACCTGATGAATAACCATAGAACAAAAAGAACACATTTTCATAGGAGAGTTAAAGGGACCAGAGGATGATGGAAATTTGTGTTTCAGTAATGTGATTCAGCAGACTGAAGTCTTTATCATCTGACTCTGTGCAGGAGGAAAAGGAGCTATTGTCAACTTAAACCCTTTGAAACAAATACTGGATGTCCGATAGTGGGCACAGGATATGTTCCTCTTTGACTTAGGCTGCCACCTACTGGACAAAAATAAAACTACCGCTTTAATAAATAATGCATTGTTGGGGGAGTCATAAGCACATTCTGATTGGAGCTACTCAGATTGGTTTGTATAATTTGATTAGCAGTTAGTCATTTCATTATTTATTTGTAATTAATTAGTTTTTAGCTGGTTATGAAACAGACTGAAATGAGCACTGACACCTCTTTATGACCTACAAAAGGGAACAAGACCATCAGCAATAAGACTGTTCATTTCGACATTATAACTTTTAATGGTAGTAACCACTGCTGCAGGGTAGTTATTGGACAAATTGAGTTGTGGTTCATTTTCCGTTGCAAAGATGCACAGTGAGTGAAACATTTGGCTGTCAAAAGAAAGCTGGGTCAGTTTCTATCAGTGAACTTCTACATGAACAGGTACAAACCAGCAAAGCGATGAGGTATCACATTGTGATGCTCCAAAATTAACCCCATACAAAAAAAATACCTCACGGGAGCTTTACAAGCGATACTTGTGATTAGTATGTTTGAATACATTACTACTAGCATTTAGAATATTTGAGTATTTTTTTTTATGCTTTTGTTTTGAAAGAACTAGTCAACTTTATCACCAGGTGTTTTGTATTTGAAAATGTGTAGAGAAGGTGTATGTTTCTTTTTTTTAACCATGACAGTACAGAACAGTACAGAAAAGGAAAAAGACACAATGCTATCACTTTTGTTTTTTTTTGCCCAAAGAAGTGCAGAATAAACATTAAAGACCCTTTAAGACCGGTACATGCACATTGGAACTTGGAAGTTTCACTCCTTGTGAGCCTCAGTAGCTGGTTTGATTATTCATTCATTTTCATTTATTTTAGTCGTCTCCACTACTTTGTCAATAAAAGTGTCAAACAAATGTAGTTTTGACTTGAATTTGCATTTTCAAACATAAAACTGTGTTAAATGTAGTCTATTGTTATAATATCACTTTTCATTTCTTTTTTTGGTTTTCTGGTGTTGATCTCAGTCCAGTGTTTAAAAAGTCTCCGACCATGATGAAGCAGTTCTCCTGGTCTGGCAGACACAGTTTATACATACGGTTGAGTTGGTAGAGTCTATGTGATTCTTCTCAGTTTGCACATGTAGATGGGGCCAAAGTTAGCCGCTAAGTGTGGGATGACCATCTCACCCAGGGGGAGGTCGGGGGCGAAGTCAAAGGTTTTCCTAAACATTTGTGTGAGGGCTCGAAGGTCAACAACCTGAATGTAAATATGAAAAAAAAAAAAACAACAAAGGTTAAATTATTTGTTGTACAGTAATTTGGCTCCCAGGTTTATCATCAAGAGGCCCTCGTTTATTTTTCTGCCTTAATGATAACAGTCTGACTCTATTCTTGAGGATATAACTGAATCTCTGATGTAAAGTTTTACAGTGTGTCTCTCACTGACCTGGAGTTGGATGCCATGGTTCTCTTTTGCCAAATAGATGGCCTGCTCCACCACACTCATGTTCTGAATCTGAGAGAGTGTGCAGGTGGAGTAAAGAATCTCCCCACCCCGACAAGCAGCTAGGATTCCTGCCCTGAAGGATAAAGAGCAAAAGTGTGTTTAGTTGTAGCTGTAAAGTAAAACTTTGTATAATTATGTGAGAAAATGTAAGTGCATAAACATTCAGTCCATCATGACTCCAGTGTCATTAACTCACAGGAGAAGCTCCGTCTGTACTTCTGGCAGCCTTCGTCTTTCACCCGTCCTGTTCTTACTGAATATGTTGTTGTCGTCCTCCATGAGCGAATGTCTGTCTGTGGTGCAGGGAACATCAACAAGGACCTGAAAAAATAGAAAGGTGGAGGAGGAAAAGGCGATTGGTTCCTAGATACATTTCGTTAACAGTCATTAATTAAAGCATCTGTAAAACTGCCCGCTGGCTTACTCTGTCAAAAGTGTTCCTTTCGATTTGGCCCCACTGGGTTCCATCAAAGGAAGTGATGCGTATTTTCTCATCAGTCAAAAGCTCCTTGGGAATATAGCTCTGGAGGACCTTCCTCAGTCGTGTCGTCCGAGACGCAGAGTTGTCATTCACACACAAAAAACCTTTGGCGTAAAAAAGAAACGACTTGGGGTTAACTACTACAGACAGAAGACATTCTCAAACAAGAGAGTTTTACTGTTAGATAACCGGGTTTAGATAAAATCAGCTCTCTTACCAATAGAATGTGTCTGTAGTAAAGCTAAGGCTTTGCCTCCTGGAGCAGCACAAAGGTCGAGCACATTGTGACCCCCTCGAACGTTCAGAGCGAGACATGGCAGCACAGACGCTGCATCCATCAGGTAATGACTCAGTAACCTTTTAGTGTCCGGTCTTTAGAGGCAAAGGGAACACAAAGTCAGAGTAAGTGGGCTTATTAAACCATAAAGGAACTACATTAATTTAGACAAATAAAAATACATTTGTAAAGTTACAAACACGGCTGATGTCGTTCACTTTTTTTTACATAATGGACGGCTGAAGTCAACATTCTGACCCAAAGAGGCATTTAGCTAACGTATCAAATATTATGGAATTTTTGTTCAATAGCTTAAAAACATAAGCTCACCTTGCCGGCTTGAATTTGGTTATGTCCCCTCTTGGAAACACTAAGCACTTGATGTTAAGACTGAGCTGCAGAGGAGACGGCTGCTGACTGTCAGAGTCAGATTTCTTTGTTGAAACGCTGATGGATTCCTCCTCGGCTACCACCTCCGATTCTTTCTCCAGGCATGGCTGAACTGCAGAGTTAAGAAGAATGCAGAAGTGTTTTTGAAAAGGAGAAAGATTGTGTTTTATAAAGACAGAAACAGAGTGTAAAAATGGGACTTTTTAGGGGATTATCAGCAGTTTTCTGAACACACTGCCGTTTGACTAAAATGTAATAATCGACCACTGTTGAAGACGACTTTTCACTGAAACATATTTTTCTATGTCACATGACATAACAAATAACCCATACATAACATTATAATTTGAAGTTCATTTCACAGTAATTTCTTGATAAAATGATTATTACCAAACAAAACAAATGGTCTAGATCAGGGTGTGGCCCTCAGGTCAATTTTGACACATCAAATAATTGGAATCATGAAGAAAACAAGACAAAATCTGCCATGAAATCACGAAAACCAGAAATATGTCCATAATAATATTTGATCTCTGGTATATGTTGAGTTAAATTTGAGACATAATTGATTTCAATCATTTTTGTATCCTACAATGTGGCCCTCTGGCAGTGAGAGTTAAATGAATGTGGCCCCTTGCTGTGACCAAAGTTGCCCCATCCCTGCTCTAGATATCAGGTCAGAATACAAGGAAAGGCTTTGGAGAATAGTTTTAGCTAGATTAAAATGAATACGCACAAACAAAAAAAATTACATGCGATAAAGTTATTATTGCATGTATAATAAGAGTTATTAGGAATTTCTTAAAAAAGTAAACAAATCAGTGACACCTACATGTTTTTTTTAGTTATGGTAAACATGCATGATTTGGCATTTACTTACTGAGCTTCAAGGGCACATCATACATTTAGAAACTAAAAAATGTTCTGCACTTTCACATAAAATATCGTCTCCGTTATTCAAGAAATGTCACAGTGAAAGAGAAGGCATTTTTTGGATTTTCTACAAGAATGCCGTTCTGAATTTGTGAGCTATCAGTGTTTGAAACTGACGGCACAACTGCGTTCTCCACGAGAGCAAACTGAAGAGCCAACATCTTCAGGATTCAACTGGGAACACCGGAGATGAACACCTACTTTGTGTGTAAGCGTCTCCGATGAAGTCTCTGCAGCATCCCTGAGCGTCCAAGTCTGTCAGAACTGCATGGTGGGCGAAGTTATTCAGCAGGGCTCCGTACTTCCTCTCTGACAGCAGGGCGACTCGCACTGAGGGCCACAGCTTCCCCAGCTGGATGCTGTAGGTGGAATCAAAGTGTCGCAGGGCCAGGATGGAGGGAGGGTACTTGACACGTGTGGCAGCCTGCACAAAGGCCAAAACACTGACTTTAAACTTTGACATGTGGTGCTAGTAGAAGTACCTATCATACCTTTAGTTGACAATTTCATAAACATTATTTTGAGTATCTTTTATCTACTATAGTCACAACAGAAGTTATCTCTCTAACATAACTATTTATTTACTTTTTTTTTTTTAGCTTTTATGTAAAGCTTTATATTGTACTTGACATGGTTTACATATATATCTATAGTAATAATGTTTAACTCTGTGTGGCTTTGTGCTAGATATTTTAGTCATATGCAAACTTAAATATCATTTTAATTCCTGAATGATAATAACTTTATAAGATAACAACCACAATTTGCGGGAATTATCGATCACGGCTTTGATAACATACCCATTTTTCTTTCACTTTGTGTCGCTTGGGCGTTACATTTCTTAAATCCTTAATTTTTCTTGTGAGGAGTCTGGTGTCCAAGAGCAGCGCCATGTTTCTGTGCGTCTGGTTCTTCGGCTCGTCTTGACTCTTAACAGGCGAACAAGTGGTTCCCGGCTCCGCTCGGCTTGAGGAAAATGAATGGGCGGGCCTTGCACGAAATCTTAGATGACGATTGGTCCAGAGCTACTTCAATAATCCATCCAACCAATAGAAGGCTTTATCCGGTGATTCTTCTGGTCGTTTCCTTCGTGTGACCGACCTCACGTCCTTAACGACCAGCGTAGCCGTCGAGCGAGGACGACAGTCTACGGCAGACATTTGTGGGTGAATTAAAAGCTGAAATCATGGTTTTCGAGATGAAGATGCTCACATACGGCGACCCTGAAGACGAGGTATTAAAAGATGACTGACATGTTTATTACTCGTCGCTTGTTGTGTTGTGTTATCTAAGCAGCACAGTCTGACTTTGCCGGCCAGTTTGACGCGAGTGATGTTACACAATATACTTTATTCTGAGCTCCTTTTAAACAGTTTTTTTTAAATGTATCGTGCTTTAAATGTGCCCTGGTCGTTAAAAATGTGAAGTTATATGACATGACTTTGAATTTCTATGGCTGTCTTTCTCTGATACCTGTTCCTGCACGGTACATATTATTTGTAACACATGTCAACTGTGTATTCACCATAGACTGTAAAGTCTTTAATTATATAATTTGTAATTTATTTATATTCACTTGTTTTATGTGATCTATGATGTCATAAGGATTTAGTAATACAGACACTGCAGTGAAATAAAGATAACCTAAGATCTCTGAAGTACTGTTTGGACTCTAATTGAGCTTTCAGACTTTCAGGCTGTTTAAGAGCACAAGTTAGTTTGAAATGCAGCTTATATACAAACCTGCTATATTTATGTCTCTGAACAGGAAGAAGATGCTCCTGCTGAGGAGGAAGAGGAGGAGGAAGAGGAGGAAGAAGAAGACATGGTGGTGAGTGTGACCACTTAAATGTAATGATTGTCCTTTTTAAGCATGAACAGGGAATTCACCTGCCATAACATCACACTCGACTTAGAGGTAACACAAAAAAAGCAGAGTATGGAGAAGTATGATGACCCTGAAACAGTACACATTCAGTATTTAAAAATGTCTTTTGATGGAAATAATAGTTTAAAGACTTGAGTGTAAGTTCAAGTTAAGTGATGATGTTGAATAACCTCTTTAAAAAAAAACTGTATGGAATATCACATTTTCTGCATTCATATAGTACAGTAGTTTTGTTTTATTCAGTGCTGGAAAGAATAACAGTACGTTGACGTTAATACAATTCTAGGTGTCAGTTGATTACCTGTCCCCCTGTTAATGCCATTTATAATTCTACTTATTTGATAACTTTACTTACTCTGTAGATTTAAATGATGTATTACAAAATACAGTACAGACCAATACCAGGCAATGTATTATCTTAGATAAGATGAGCAAGACTTTGACTCTCCCTGGATCTTCAGTAGGACTACATTTATTTCTGTAGTTATGTTGTTTTATTTACTTCCTGATCATCGTGTACTGCTTGTTATTTAATGTTGTTGTTCTTTAATGCTTTTTTTTCCCTTATGTGCAAAAAATAAATTAAGACCCTTCATCAGCTACCAAGCTGTTTTTCACCAGCTGTGACATTAAAGCATCAGTGATTATAATCAAATGTAATCATAAAGAATGTTTTGAAATGGTTAATTTGCATATTTGGTATTGAGTTTGTGAGATTGCTATTGCTTCTTCTTTTTTCATACTCTGGTTTTATTCTAAATTAGTGTCAATACATTATTTATACTTCTGTGCACATAGCCTACCTATACGTTTCAGAATTGTGCTTTTTAAGAGATTAAGCCTATGTGGACACAAAGAATGGTGTTGCTACAGAGCAGTTTCAGTGTTTAAAATAAGTGCATATTCGCAGTTATTTCACCAGTTGAACTGCTGATGGTTAAATTGACTGCAGAGACTTCAAAAGCATGCGTCTGTGGTTTTATAAAATGTCCTTTGATACAGCACACATCTCCTTCGCCCCTCTCAGGATCCTTTAGAAACAATAAGAACCAAGTGTGAGCAGACTGAACACTGTGTGCACACAAAGGAGCGCCTGGAGACCTGCGAGGCCAGAGTCAGCTCCAGGTCCAGCACTGTCGAGGACTGCACAGAAGAACTCTTTGACTTCTTGCATGCAAGGGACCATTGTGTAAGTGAGACAGAGAAAAATACAATGTGCATTCTTTTTCATGAGAAGTTAGGCTGCATGTGTCTTGATTATCCATCGTTGAAGACGCTAACTGTGTCCTCTTTTATCATTACAGGTAGCACACAAGCTTTTCCACAACGTGAAATGACCAGCTCTCCCAGTTCCCATCTTCTTCAGCTGTAGAATCTCTAACTGCTAAACTGTAAAATTATCTGAGCGATTCTGTTGTTGTCCTCCTGTGTATTGATGTAAATTATTTCCCTGGTTTCTTGGACTAAAAACTCGATAATTTCACTATTTCTGTGTGTAGTCAGAGGCAGTATGTTAAATATGCTGCTTGTTAAGATAATGGGTGCATCCAAGTTGTTGAAGGTTGATTAAGGAAAGGAAACTTCATTAGGCAACTCCTCACTGTAGTCCATTCAATGCAAACACAATTATGCTGCTCTGTTATCAGAATCTCTCAGGTTAAATCATGGAGTCACAATACTCACCAGAAAATAAAGGGTTTCTCTTGGTTTACAATTTGTCTGAGTTGCATTATTAAAATTACTTGGATTCTTCTTTGGGACAATTAGAAGTTTTTGCCTCGCTGTATACTTGGAGCTCTGTAAGCTGTCCCTGATAGAGGGAAATGTCTGACGAGGTTTTAGTGGGTTATGCAGACAAAATACTGCAAAAATTAAGTGTATTTTGTAAATGACGGTGGGACTAAAAATTATGGATGAAAATAGTGACTAATAGGAGAGATGATAGACTATATTTGGTGGTATTGTAACACTTTGTACTAGAGAACTTCACCGCCCAAATCATCTCAAAGAAATACTTTAAATTTTATATGAAGCAGAATTCTAAACGTGTGTGTGTGGTGGTTTGACAGGACAATGTGCCACCAATAGATATAAGATGACTAAAGCTTTATTTGCATACATGCCAAAATCATGATAATAAATTAAAAATCAAAGTTCTTCATAAAACAGCCTTTAAAAAAAAAAAAAAAAAGTATTAAAAAAATTACAGTATTGACCACCGGGTGGCACTGTGAGTTTTGCTACAACTTCGAGGAACCTGTGAGGTAAAAGTGTTCAGATGTGCGTTTGCAGACGTTTCAGAAAACCTAAATGTCCAGAGTGCTATGAGAAGGGTTGATAATGTGAAGATAAGTCACGCACACGGTGCATAATGTTACAGGAGATGATGATGAATTCATCGCATCACCAAGAGTTTTCCCTGTTGCCAAGAAAATCATCCATGGAGGCCTGGAGAGAACACAGATGAAGACATTTTAGGTTTTTTTTTTTTTTAAAGGAACATCTACAGCACTGACTGATTCTTCATTATCCTGAGATTTTGATGAAGACGTGAGGAAGAGCTCTATCCTCACCTGCATGAGCAGCCTCTCCTTCCTCAGTCTCTTGTAGAAGATGAGAACATCTGGATTTGCTCTGACCACATGGGGGTCAAAGTCCATGACCCTCAGACCCTCCAGGCTCCGAGCCCTAGATAATGCCACGTATGCCTGCCCGCTCTCAAAGACACGAGCCAGAGAGATCTCCACACAGTCCAGAGTCATCCCCTAACAGGAATGAAAGACAAAAGCAGTTACACAACCCACATGTCTATGGGTCATCACCATTGATTGGTATTGACCCAGTTATTTACCGGTAATTATCCCAATGCCACATGAACATTATTTCCACCTGATCATTCTCCAATTCAGTGTTCCATTATGTTCCCACGTTCTCGCTGTGTGGTCACAGATACCTGCTTTAGCTTCTCTGCTGGGGGTCAAACACCAGTGACACACCCGGTTGTTCTGACTAGTGAACTCAATTACCCAGAGGCCACTTTTTCTCTCAGAGCAATTTCAGAGTTTGCTGATACACAATCTGCTGTGGGAGGAGAGCTGAGCCATCGGTGAAGGCAGTCATTTGATCGCACACAGACAGATTACAGGACGTGGAGAGAGGGTGTCCCTGGTCGACTGGATTCATGGTCACGTCTTGGTAACCCCAACAGACCATCAGCACGCCTCAAGAACATTCGTTGGTATGCGGTGACACCCAGGCCTTAAACGTAGATGCCATCAGTCTTACTAACAGTATTGCAGTGTTCTAAAATGAGACCTGGCTCTCCATTTAATTCCTCTGGGGGACATTTAAGAAAACATCTCTTTACTGTCACTCAAAATCCCTTAACACCTTACGATTCTGCCAAAGTGCTTCCACATGTTGGATTCTCGTTCAGTTAAATTTTTGTGTGTAAAATGTGTCAACCTATCAAAAGGCTGTTGTTGACTGTGATTTAGAATAGTTTGATGTTGTATATTCAGCGCAGACTTTTTGAAGCCCTTCCATTGTAAACTCTGCAATCCTAAACAGACATGTGGACAAGGATCAGTTACATGGGATTATTTACAATCCCGTACATAGCATAAAATTTGCCAGTCAAACAAATCAAACAGAACCTGAAGGGCACAGTGGAGTTTTGCAGATGTTTGATCAGAAACTAAAGCACAGCAAACAAGAATAAGTGAGCTTTAACAACAGGCAGGTCTGCACTAAATCTTTGGCTAATCTGCACATTAGCTGTCAACCTTTTCATTCTCAATCACAAATGCTCTACTGGATTAATCATAATGATTTGAGTGATTAGACTTCATCTGGGGACCATGACTGTAGGTACCAAACTTCTCTGCTGATCTGTCCTGTAGGTATTGATATATTTCACAGGACCAGCGTTAAGCCTGGCCTGCTGGTGACACAGACAAATCAAGACATGGATGATTTTATTACAATGCCTAATAGAAGCAGATAGGCCTGCTGTTTGGAAGTTTTAGTTCCCCTCGTGTGTGCTGGGAGATTTTTCCTACAACATTTTTTCATGCGAGAAACAGCAAAGGAAAAAAAGGAAGTGTTCTTAATATGAAGACAGTATGTTATTACTGAGACACGCTGGATACACTTGGATAAGAAGCAAGAATGTGGACAATGACTGAACTTCAAGGCCAAATCAGAGACAACGATCCACACATCTCCAATATCTAGCTCCCCGGAGGTATCCACAAATGCTCCGTTAAAGAAAAACTATTAAAAGGCAAATTATGATTAAATGAAAAAGTCTATTAATAAAGTGAGTCATTCATTAAAGAGACTCTCAGACAGCTAACTTAAGTCCCATGGCAACACAGAACAGACCAGACAGAAACATTAAATCATCAGACGGAGCATTTTTCTCTTCTTTTTTTCCGTTGATTAGCAGAACTCTGTGTGGCTGTGAGCGAGGCTGTGCTAACCTGGCTCTTGTGGATGGAGATGGCCCAGGCCAGTTTGAGGGGCAGCTGCTGTCGACTCAGGTGGATCCCACCGCCCGACTTAAACACCCAGCGCTCAGGCTTCAGCACCTCTGTGACACCACAGACGAAACGCACCCGTGGGAGTCCTGAAGAAACGAGGAATGAGTCAGCACACAAGGAAAAAAAAAAAAAAAAACTAACAGGAAAGACCATCAAAAGATTATTCTCAACCTCGTTCTCTCACATTTAAACACAAAACAACTTACAATTCTTCTTCAATTCAATATGTTGTAGATATGTTTTTAAACTAAAAGTGACTACTGTGCAAAAGGAACTTTACATTGTAGTTATTGAAGAGGTAGTCACATTTAGACTGATGGCTGTGATTGGCTGGTGGTGTTTGGTCATGACTTTGGAGTGGATACATTTATGTTAGCGCTAGCTACTTAGTTACACACTTAAGTCAGCCTAAATAGTTATTTTTTTATTAAAGACAAGTTTTTATTTTTATGTTGAGTACCTTCTTCAATCCAAACCTGATGAAAAGAAACAACAATTGTCACTTGAACTCTTGTTTTCACTTGTCATTAATCCTCTAATCCCTAATCTCTTGCCATTTTGGATACATTTATAAATAAATGTCAAGATTTTCTTTTCTGGACAAATATTTTGACATAAGGTTAGTATACTGACCATGTTTTCCAGACTCAAATGCAACCACGACCCCTCGCGCACCGTTCACCAGACCTCGAGTGACGTCCAGGTTTTTTGTCAGCATGACCTTCAAAAGAACAAGCATCGTTTCAGATGTCAAAGCTGGTTTTCACGCAATCTGTAAATCTTGAAACACACAGTATCAAAAGTGCAATGTCACATGCAAAAGTGGGGAGCAGGTTGAGAGGGCTTTGGGAGACACACACACACACGCACACACACACAAACACACACACACACACAGGCCTACCTGAGCTCCTATTTTGAGTTGGATAACCCTGTTAACAGGAGTGTGAGCATCTATGGTCTTCACAAGAGCAGGGTCACTGTCCAAGGCCTCAAACACACGCACAGAGCCTGCGGGAGAGGGACGCTTCATTTAAAAAAAGAGACTAAGCATGAGGTGGGTTTCATATACAGCAAGTGACAGGGGCAGGAAAAGTGTAGAGACATGAAACCCAAATTCCTCAAAATGTTTAACCTGGATCAAAATTCTGGATTGAATGCACCTTTTTGCGATACAGGATCAGGTAATGCATTAGAATTTTGTTCTGTTTTTTCATTTATGTATGAGCAAATGGACTTGATCAATCATATTAAAATACAGACAGTGATTACAAAATCCAGATTACCAGTGGTGAAAATGGGACTAAATACCACCTACTTGGTCTACAGGGGGCAGCAAAATCACACCAACTCAAAGTTTCAGATTTAAAAAACAATCTAAGTTATCAAAATCTTACTCAAAAGTTTTGAACATCACAAACAGGAGGTTTTTTTTCAATCGGATTTTGTAATACTTTGTTTCTTTTGAACATAATTTTATACATTTCGAGTATCCAGGTTAACAACGTCAAACATGAAAATGGTTAAAAAAAAAAAACAACAACACTAAAACTTCCAGGAATCAAACAGACTCCCCAAAGTTCCTCATGCCAGCCTGTTGCCAGACATAATTCAGCCTGAAAAGCTGTAGGCTCAAAGTGGAGAATTGAGGTTTCAGACCTGGCAGCTGTTGGAGTTTGTTCGTTTGTGAGCTCCACATCGTCCTTGTGTGTGCACAGCCTGGTGGCCAGGATGCCGTCTCTCTCAATGTGATGGTAGGCGCTCTCCAGCAGCTTAGCAGTTACTTCCTCTGTCACCCTGAGTGGTTTTTATCAAGACAGAAATGAATTGAAAAACTTATTTCTGCTGCAGAGCAAAATGTTCTGTACAACTAAATACATGCTGCTGTTTCTGAAAGGTCTCTACAGCTTTCAAAGCATTCATGGTACACAGTGTAGACAGCGCAATGAGCTGTTCTTCTGGTAGAACGTTTAAAAAAAAAAAAAGTGTGTGTGGAGGGGCCCTGGTGACTTAGTGGTTAGGTTGCACCCCACATGTACAAACTCAGAGGCTGTAGCCCTGAAAGCGGGCGGCCCTGGCTCAAGTCCAAACCTGTGGCACCTCTTCTGCATTTCATTCCTCACCATTTCTGACACTATCCACTGTCCTGTCTCTACAATAAAAGGCATAA